TTTTTTTTTTTTTTTTTTTTTTTTGTGGAACATATTTTTAACTTTATTTATTTTTTTCTTAAAAAAATGTTCATTGGATAAGCTCTGATCATTAAAAAAAATGTCATGCAATGTGCTGCTAAACCAATTTTTCAAAAAACTTATTTTTTCATAAATTATAGATGTTGAACTAAAAAGTTTTGGGGTGATACAGATTCTAAGTTTTTGAAATTTTGATAGTACACATATTGATATTTATATTCATAGTAAATACATTTTTATATGAAATGGGTGTTTCGAATTGAACTACAAGCTTGTTATAACATTTAACATCGGGCCCCCCTTAGTGAAATTCCTAGATCCATCAATGCTGAAAACCTAAGCAGGCTGAGGCTCGTCTAAATATCATAGAGTAAGGTGTGGTCATGCTACCATTGCCGAAAAATAAGATGTTAGATTCCAAACATGCTCATACAAAAATAAATTTTCCTAGACGACGCACACAATAAATAAATAAATAGGACACAAAATAAATGATAAACAAATGTGAAAGGAAGTCACCTCTTCTTCTCTTCTTTCAGCATTTTCTGATGTGATCCTAAGCAATTGTTTCACAACACGAACTTGCTTATGGTACAAAATTTTCCCAATCGGCCAAGGGAGGTCAGAATAATAAATCTTATGGGCTGACTTACCGTCAGACCCCAACCAGAGCTCATACATGGCTGCATCTGCAAGCCACGAATCAATCATCGCCTTTACAGATATCCATTCGGGTATTCCATTGGCCCCACGGTCCAAATCAAGAATGCCATCTTCCTTCAATTTCTGAATGACTCCACCTTTCTCGTTATCATAGGCCACATAATCGCCAGATTCAACAAAGGGTATTTGATCTGGTTGAATTACAATGAATCTCCAGAGTAAAATTTCATATATCAAAAGTAAACTTTTGTCTTAAGGAAGAATAATAAAGATAACGATGAGGACTAAAGAGAACATATTTTACAGTTTCAGTTCACGGAGTAGACAAATCAAAATATTATATGACAACAAAAATTAAAACAAAGCATCTATAGAGACTACAACCTTGTGCTTTCCAAATATCCTAATATAAGGTAATTCACCGACTAACAAATGGACAGTAAATGTCATTATTCCGACCACAGAACCAGACTGATTCTCAAAATTTATTGGTGATGAAAGATAATTAATAATGTTTCTCATGCCATGATCGAGTTTAAATCCCTCAAATTTTCTGTAAAATTGTAACATCGTCGAACAATGTGTGACCATTACAATGTTCGTTATGCAGCACACTATGCATGACTCCCACTTAACTAAGGAAGAAACATATTGCAGTACAAAGAGCTCCTCATTAAGACAAACTATGTTTATTGTCTGGGATAGTAAAATTCTCGTTTTGTTCTATTCTATGCGTGTAAAATTCCATCTATCATCATGCTAAAATAAATTATTTCCATACGACATACAAATTCCACATCAACTGTTCAAATTCAATACATAAGTCGAAATCCATAGCAACCCTCATAAAAACCTTATGGCATCAAGTTCAATTCATCAAGAATTTTTAATTTTACATCACATCGGGAAAGTCCAGCATAGTTTAGTAATTAAACAGATGGACTATATACAATTCTAATCCAAGTCTACGCACAAACGATACAGTAAGTTTAGGAGGAGCATAACAAGCAAGCAAGGCTCACATTCAAACCAACTCCACTCTCAGAGCTTCAAACTCAGGTGATTATCGACAAACCGAAAGCTCATCACAGGCCATAATCCATACGTTTTACTCCAAAATAACCGTGACGGAAAAGAGGGCTTGGCTTCTAGTAACCTATTTTCGACCAAGGGCACATATTAAACTCTGACACACCATCAAGCACTAATCTTGGAGAATTAAATTATATGCTAAAAATTGAATCAAACACAGCTAGAGAGAACGAGAAAAATCCAAAAAAAAACATACCAGAATCAGGGTGAACGCCATTGAACTCCAAATCAAATGGGCTCTTGGAGAATATAAGATAAATGTAAACGGGCAAACATCTCGGGCAAGCGGTGGGCAGCCCAAAGCAGGGCTTTCTTGCTACAAGTGTTAGTCTCTCCCTTTCCCCTCTACCATCTTCCATCGCTCCCCACAGAATTTACAGAGAAGAGAATAATACTTTGTTTCTTTCTCTTTTTTCTTTTTTTTTTTTTTCCTTTAGGTTGGATTGAATTCATGGGACATGGCAAAGACTGATGAGTGTGTTAAATCCTAAATGAGGCCTTTTTGCAATTTGCCTATGTTTTGAGTCCTTTGAGTAAAATAAATTTTCTTTAATTTTCTCTGGCTTTTTCCAATGCAGGGTTGAAAATGTTCCATAAGGGGGCGTTTACTTTGCGGGACAAGACAAGATATTCAAAATAGTCTTGAGATATCTTACGTTTACTTCATGAGAACGGGATTGGATTTTCCTGACGTGGCGCACATGTGGAAGGCGCGGAAACTGCTTCATCCCAAATTTTCCAATTAAATTCATCCCGCGCACCCTCGGATATAATAATCTCGGCACACATTATACCGATATTGCCCTCAGATTTCGCTGTGAAATGACCAACATACCCTTTAAGCATTATTCTACAACTGCCACCCACCATAGAAATATAATCGAGCATCTCATTTTTTACCCTAGTTTCTGCACAGAGAAGGGCGCCATTGTTGTGAAGCTTCATTTTCTCCGTCGGGCTATAAGGTGAGCTCCAATTCTCCGTTTTCTTTCTTCTCGATTTCAATTTTTGTCGATTTCGCGATACGCGTGCTTCATTTTCTCCGGATATTCTTCTCCATTACAATTTTAATTCGTTTATTTTTTTTTTTCTTATTTATTCATCGGCAGATGGGACTGAAACACAATTGCTAGAGATGGAGATGTCTAAAGACAATTACTTGGCTTTCTTCAACAATCCATTACTCCTCTCGAAGTCACCTGCCTCGCACGTTCTGCAATTGGAATTAGGGCTACTTGTTGTTTGAAGATGGAGATGAGTGAAGGCTATCGGGGGAGAAGAAATGAAGAATGAACTCAATTCTGTGAAGTCAATGTTGTACAGACATAATAAGGGTAATTTTTTCTTTGGATTATGCAACATACCAATTAATCCATCAAAGTAAAAATGGGATTCATTTATACAAATCCCAACCCGAAAAGCAAACAAGAGTCTGATTGCTGACATGTAAAGTTGGCAAATAATTTAGTCTTATCCCATCATGCAAAGTAAAAGAGCCCTAAGAGTATATTACTAGTGTAAAATTACGAGCTTGTAGTTTAAGCTGAAACACTCATTTCATATAAAAATATAAATATCAATATGCCTATCATCAAGTTTAAAAAACTTTCGAGCATGTTTGTTTATAGAAATTTTTGGTTTTGTTTGGATTTTTTTGTTTGGTTTGGTTAATTTTGAAAAGATGGTATGGTTAGTTGTTAGTGGGTATATTAATATAATATTTAAAATAAAATAATTAAAATAATTTGATGAAAAAGTAGGAGAGGGATGGTTTGATGTCATAGTTAGTTAAAATAATGTGAGTGAATGAATAGTGAATTAAGGTTGATATGGTGTGTAAGAATGATTGATTGATATTATTTAATTATATTGATAATATTGATGATAGTGGGTTGAGTCAAAGTTGAGTTCAAAAAAATAGTTGAATTAAAATGTTGAAAATTTTTTGAAATTCTCCATAAACAAACATGCTAGAATCCGTATCACCCTCAAACTTTTTTTAAATATATTTGTAATTTACTAATTTATGAAAGAATAAGTGTTTTTGTTAAAATTTTGATCTAAATTGAACTTTTGCAGCATATTGCATAACATTTTTTTATAAGAGCTTATCAAATAAAAATTTCTTAAGAATAAAATAAATAAAGTTAAAAACATATGATTACATAACAAAAATAAAAAATCAACATAAAAAATGTAACAATCCAACTAAATACTTGATTTTATAAATCACGAAATCGATTTACAATTAAGAGACTGAAAGGGTAAATCATATAAATATTTTAAGAACTTATCTAGAAATGTAAAATATAAGGATTGTTATTACATTTTTCAAAAAAAAAATGAATAATAATATTAATTTAAATTCAAATAACATAGAAAATAAATTTTATTTATTAATATATTGTTAAAATACTATATTTTATAGTATTTTCTTTTATATCCGTGTGTGTGTATATATATATATATTGACTTTAAAAAATTG